AGCGTGGAGCAGGCAGGGCTCACAGAGACAGTGACCAGCGTGCTCGGGACTATCAAGGAGATCTTGGACGAGGCAGAGCACATGCACCCACGCGCGGCACCTGCAGCACTCAAGACATTGTCTGAAGAGAAGGGCAGGGTACCAACATCTGATACGTCCTCGTGGGCGGCCGCCGACAAGTCACGTTACGAGGACCTCATCAAGGACTTGACGACCTCCATAGACATCCTCTATGACCTCTCTAGAAGTCGACGTACGCAACGCGGTTACAGTCCAGACGTCAAGATTGTCCCCGAACCTTCACGACCATCCACCTCGGCCGCTATCTTCTCAAAACCAGAATATAGCGCATCAGATCTTACGCTCGTCAACCCAGCAACATTTCCGCTGAATGTGCATGCGCTCAATGCTGCTTCACGTTCTCATCTGCCACCCAAGCTGAACCCCTCAGATCTCGTCTTGCCAGCAGAGGAACCACCGCCTTATGAGAGTGTTGGTGCATCGTCCATCCGTGTCATAGGACGACTTCGCTCGCGACACAGTTCAACAAACCCGTGGAAGACTGACGGGTCGCGAATAGTCGAGCAGCCTGTCCTGATCGAGTACGCCACATACGACCCTACGTATCGCTTCACAGAGGTATCACCGCCCACGGACCGACTAGATACACTCTTGTCGATATTGGCGAATTTTTCAAACGACCAGCCTCATTTAGCCACACTCAGATGCTTGGGGTACTTTGAAGATCCAAAACAACCTCGATTTGGTCTTGTTTTCGAGTTACCATCCTCGACCTACTCTGGCGCATCTGATGCACACAAGACGATAGATGAGTTGCGACCTGTAACCCTTCTTAGCGTGCTACAGACAGGATCCAAGTCACTCAACAACTCTAATAGCGCGACACCCCCACTTGAGGATCGTTTCCGCCTGGCATATTCGCTTGCAATCACGCTCAGCAAGATCCATGGCGACAACTTTGTTCACAAAGACATCAACAGCAGTAACATCTTGGTGTTTCGGAAAAATAGACGACAGTCGGCGAACACAAGGGCTCTGCAGTACGCCCTACGCTCTCCGGTTATTTGCTCTTTCGATCTCTTCTCAGAGTACGATATCGAGACCACCAACACGATGCCGACCCTCAACATCTACCGTCACCCAGACGACCCGAAGTTTACCGGGCTCAAAGAGAGACATCACGGCCCTCAGTTCGACATGTATAGTCTTGGGTTGATCCTTCTGGAGATCGGTCTGTGGCAGCCGCTTGCTGATCTGTGGAAGCCAAAGTACACACTTGCCGACTTCAAGCAGCGAGTCGAAGATGTGTACATTCGTCGCTTGGCATCGAAGTGTGGAACTGCATACATGCAGGTTGTACGCGACTGCTTTTGGGCTGTTGACCGTATCGAACATGGCACAGAAAGTCTGCACGACTTTACACAGCTGTACAACCGCATCATTATTAGACTCCAACGATGCTGCATGCTTGATGAGTCCGAGCCAGGCTTTGATCTCACCGAGGCAAGACCAGGACCCACGCCACTTTCGGGCGCGTCCCACCTCAAGCGCAAGAGCGTTAGTCAACCTCAGATACTGGATACGCCAACTAGTCCTTCATATCGAAGTGCGAAGCGCTGGGCGCTTGAGAAGGGCTCCCAGGCACTAGAGCGAACGAAATCTTTGTCAAAGTCGAATGCTAAAAAGTCTCCGGACCTAAATGCTTTGTCGCGTAATCCCTCGCAACAATCGCAACATTCGATCCGTAAGTCTATCTCGGAGACCCTGGGATTGATGAGTCCTAGAGAAGACTCCATGGAGTCAATGGAGTGGGAACAACAGGACCATGGATCTCTGGATAACTCTGGTACCTTAGTCCCGACCCCTCAAAACTCACAGGATCGAAGCGATATGTCGTCATTGTACAGGGAACAGATCACAACTGCTGCTTCTATCATCCAACGTGCGTGGAGAGCGTCGCGTACCGAGCCATCAAAAGCTACCATGACACTAAGTGACTATAAAGAGAAGATCACAGTCATCCAAACAGCATGGAGACAAAGGAGGCAGAAGCGAATCCACTCTGTCGAAGCTCTCCTGACCGCGGGCATTCGTCACTGGCCCCAGGCTACTCTTGGCTATCCAACACCTGAACCAGAAGTGCAGGACGCGGGTGTTGTAGGAAGCAACGAAAGGTGTATCACTTCCTCCATCCAGATACAGACTGATGTTGAGCCGGCTCCGAAGCCTAAGCTACGCCTGCATCCTGTCAAATTCACACCTCTTATCGTTGATGAATGGCATACTACAATGCTGCCGAGGCTTGAGCGCCTCATCGAGCGTGCTCTCAGAGACTCGGACGAGACTGTCAGTATTGATCTTGTCGCGATTGGTGAGACTCAAGAGAAAGCTCGTCCTACAATCTTCATTACATGTAGCAGCGTTGCCAAGATCAAAGCAATCTTGTCCCGCCGCTTTCGTTACGATGAAGGCATGTATGACCTCAAGGTTCGTCGTGGAAAGGTTCGACGATCCAAAATGAGCCGCTCCTCGGGCCGTGTGAGACCACCTCACCGGTCCATGATGAACACAGAGAACTACAACGCAGACATGGCTGTCATAAATCCCTTCCATCAACAACGGCCACTGTGTGGGGCCTCTATTGGCGCGTTCAATGGGCAACAACATCTTCCTCCGGTCTCATATGGTGGGGTCGTATTGGTCGATGACGAGCCGCTTGGCATGAGTGTTCACCATCTGCTCGATGCACCATCAGACGAAGAGAGTGATGCTGAAGACGAAGTTGCTAGCCCTTATCCGTATGATGCGGTTTTGTCGAGCGCAACTAGTAACAGCAACCCTTGGCTGATGGGTATGGGCGCTCAACCTGGACTCGAACTTGCAGATGATGCACCAGTACCAATGTGGGATCTTGAACTGTCCGATGACGAATATGTAGGCAGTGAAGACGACGACGAAGCTGAATCCTTTGACTTTTCTGGCTCGGAGTTCGATTCCGAAGATGAGTCTGACCAGGAAGCCATGACCGACTCGACAATGTCGCGAGTCACTGTCGGTGACATCGACGGTATCGAGCCTGGCGAAGGTGAAGAGATCATAGTCACTCAGCCAGCTATTGATGACGTCGAGGAGGGTTTCTTTCCTAACGATGAGGACAAAGACGAAGACCATCTTGACTCTCACGAGCTCGGACACGTCCACGCCTCTTCCGGTATCCGGCGATGGAAGCGCGATGGCATCCTTCACGAGATTGATTGGGCGCTCCTCAAACTTAACGACGAACGCATGCAGCCCTACAACGTCTGCCAGGGCGGCCGTCGCTTCGCTTTTGGCAGCATGACACCTGGCCAACGTGAGATTTCCAGGAAGTTGGAAGAGCCTGTAAACAGACGCCACTACAAGCCCAATGAAGACGAATACCCCAACGGCGTTGCCAGCGCTGACGCCCTTGGTGGTCTAAATGTGCACTGCTTCGGTCGCACCACTGGTCTTCAAGGCGGCATGGTTGGATCTGCGATGAGCTCTGTGCGCATCTACCGCCGTAAATCCTTTTCTCGCAGCTGGCATGTCACTGGCGGATTCGGCGTTGGCGGAGACTCTGGGGCATGGGTCATCCAAAACAACTCTCATCGCGTTGTTGGCCACGTACTCGCGTGGTGCCAGAGAAACCACATCGCTTACATCTGCCCAATGGAAGTCCTTCTTGAAGACATCAAACGCACATTGGGCGCGAAACGCATCTACCTACCCGGCTCAGACGAGCAGACCCTCTTTACCAGCAACCGAAACAAGCGAGCCATCCAGGCATCATCAGTCAGAGATCTCGAGTCTGCGGTCCAGGGCCTAGGGATCGTGGACAGCCACGATTCTGCTGTTGACATGCGCTCGGCATTCGGCTCTGGATCAAGCACAAGGAGAAGCAGACTCGTCAGTCCGGTGAACGCCAATGGAGGGAGCGACAAGGAAAATCTACCGGGCGTGCTAAAGGGAAAGGCAATCAGGGTGCAAGATGGCAGGGAGACACTGGTGCAGATGGCGCTTATGCCTTGATCATCGAAAAGGCGTTTTTTGGGAGGAAGATACCCTGCTTTTAGTTGTAAGATGGTCTAGTCCATGTGAAATTATTGAATTTATCTACGCTTCTCTTTCTCAATTAGTTGTACTGTCGTTGTATCCACTTGATCCCTTGAACTCAAGTACATCTACCGTTCTTGAAACACCACGCTGCTCCGGTTTTTCTAGTACTTTGCATCGCCATCACCGAACCGACCGACCCTTCCTTTAAGCCCACTTGCCAAGCCAGATACCCCGTGGCACTCTGCACTCTCCACTTTTCTTCCACCCCTCAACCCTCATCGTACGACTCTCGCAAACTAGCAAAGCACTTCACTCACTGTACTGTAGAAACACGGTAGGAGAGGTGTCGTACTACCCGTGCTACTATCGTGTGTTGGTTGAATGCTAAGCTGTGCTGTGCTATACTATTGCTGTACCGTGCTATTTCTGTATCATGGCTGGGTGTGGTAGTGGTGAGGATAGGGCTTGTTAGATACTCTGGGAGAGAAGAGAAGGGAGGCAGAGAGGGTGAAAGTGCAAGGTATTCAAGTACGTACGGCAAGGTTTGTGATTTTTGCCTATTTGGAGACTTGGGAATATGTGGTTGGGGTACTTGTGGAGATGGGGAGGGGGAAGTGGTTGGTTTGCTGGTGTGTGGTGTGGTGTGGTGTTGTGGTGTTGTGGTTAAGAAGAGAGTGTGTGTATAGAGTTGTGTGTATGAAAGACTCTGAAGCATGGCTTTGTACTCTGATTCTGATTCTGATTCTGATTCTCAGATATGCGTATTCTACAAACTTACCTACTTGCCTATAGATCTGCAAAAACAACAATTTCACTCAACTTCCCTCTCTGCACTCTCACCTAAACCAGACGACTAGCTCATCCAAAAACGTAGAAGAGCCAGAGGGAGAAAAAAAACACCTCGCCCGACGTGAGACTCGAACTCACAGCCTTGGGATTAAAAGTCCCACGCGCTAACCCTAGTCATCGTATTAGTACGCTGTCGTCAGACTTCAAGATGAAGAAGCAGACTCACAATTGTGCCAGCCGGGCTAAGCACTCCTTCCCTCACTCCTCCCAAGAAAGGGAGAATGGAAGAGAAGAAGAAAAAGAAGGCGCTGTCCCCTGCCAGACTCGAACTGGCGGCCTTGGGATATCTGCTGTATTAAAGCAGTCACAGTATGTTTGACGACTATGAGACCCACGTGATAACCAACTACACCAAGGAGACGCTGTTCAATCGCTCGAATGGAGTAATTGATTAGATAAGCGGTCGGCAATTGGGATGAATTATATAGAGAGTGAATTGAAGAGGGAGATAGGGGTTCGAGCCGGGTTCATTGGTGTGGTGGAGGCTCTGGTAAGCGAGTGCATGGTGGGTGGGGCTGTGAGTTAGTTTTGGACGGGTGTGGAGACTTTTCGGCGAGTGGAAGGTGGAGCTACGAATCGTAGGGCTGTGGTGGGTTGTTGGAACGTTTTTTGCTGGGTGTCTGGAGATGGATCATGTAGGAAGTTGATGCACCTTTTGCTGCTGAGTGTGAGATAGGCTCTGTGATTGCAGTGCGACGCTGGGCTTGCTGAGAAGACACTCTTTCAGTGCCCAAAGACGTAGCATGACAGCGACTTGTCTATCATGCTCGTGGAAAGACAGTTGGACAGGTGGACTCGGACAAGACCAAGACTTGAATTACCTTTCACATGTGGTTCATGGAGTGACGCCAAGACAGCGTGGTCGGACCGTCTACTTGGGTCGGGATAGATGCACCGAGAATTCTGGACCTGACACTAAGCGGATGCTCAGTGCAATATCCATCACGCAGTCGAATCTTTGATTCACCCGAAAGCCTTGATCATCGGGTTGCCCTTTCCAGCGCGGAACGGCACGAGATAGACGAGACGTTCGGCCGCGGCCGTGGCCGTGTGCTCTGTTCGACCAAAAATCCTGTCTTCAGTGAATCAACGACCACACATTACTGCCACGAATATCTCTTCCTTTTTGTGCGACGTTCGCAAGAGCCGAAGAGGTCGTCTTGAAGACGTCAAAGGCCCTAAATAGCCGCCGGGTGGGCCGCTCATTGGGCTGAATGCACCGCAAATCTGACACCAAGGCCAAAAGTGGACCCGCTGGGCAGCCATGCGAACAGCATGCTGGCCTCCCAGGCCTTCGGAACCCAATCAAACGTCCGTCGGGCAGCAAAGGATTCGAACTTCTCAGGAATGTGAGCAATGACTCACTTCGCTGATGGGAGTGGAGCTCATTGCATGTTTTGGAACATTTGCTTTACGCTGTTAAAGCTGGCTAGTCGGAGAGTGGGCACTACGAAGCAGACTTGTTGTTTGGCTTCTGAGGCTGTACCGGCAGGGCTGAACAGAAGGTCACATTGGGTGAGCGTCCCACACGTTCTTGCTTTTTGAGTAGTGATGGTCATGAGTGGGCACGCTAGCCGAGCGTGTCAGTCAACGCGAACGCCACTTCAGGATGGTACAGCAACCGAGTGCATGGCGAACGTAGCGCTTTCTATCTAAAATTCATGTCAGCGTGGTCGTAATACCTAGACGGGGTTTTGTCTACTTGTTTTGAGATGTGGATGTGGCTTTGGGCTTTAATTAGATTAGCAACAGTAGGTGATTGGCCATCAAGATGAGCGAGTGAAGGTGCAACGCAAGATTGTTGGCAGAACATTAGCTCGAGAGTTCAAGCAAAGAAGCACAGGTGGTATGATATCATGTGAGACTGATAGTATCAGACTCACTGTCTGCGATTGTCTCCAACGCTCCTGGTCCTATGCAGATAGACTCGAAACTAAGGCCAGTCAGTAGGGTAGTTCTTTCCACAAGGGGATGTGGTTGTGGCAAACATTGTTCTCACTCTTTGCTAGGTCGCTCAAGTCGCCGAGCCTAGCATTCATGGACGGCGATGCGGTTGGCCTTCCACCTTTGGACGCCCATACATTCTTTCTGTGACCTGGTTGTCGGTTGTCTTGATGTCGTGCAGCACGAGTGGAAAACAGCAAGTCTATCTGCCCGTTTGAGCGAGAAGTGAGCCGTGTGTGTTATGGGATGTGAGGGCAGCAGCCATGGTGGTACAAACGTCAAATGTCACGGCTGTCGAAGAAGATGGTGGGGGGACTATTGGACGTGAGTGCACGCATTCACAAAGCCTGCCTCGTCCACGGCAGGGTTGTCCAGCAAATTGAAACCATGGCCGAGATGCTCTAGTTTGGAGATGCGTCACTGGAGTGGAATGCGAGTGACTCGATCAAGACGAGACGAAACACATGTGTGTTGTACGTGTTGGGTGACGGTCACAGCGTCCAAAGAACGTGGCTCAAGTTTGGCCAGACGGGAGCAAGTGCCTCGGACACGATAACGGTAGTACTACATGGGCAACGACAGCTTGACGTCAGCTGGGAAGTGCCGTTGGAGCGTTGTGAGCGCTTCAATCAGATGTAATGTTCTCAGAGGCATGAAGACGACTCGGTACTCGTGCATCTCTTCACCGGAATCCTTAGTGGTAGCGGGGTATCAGTGGCAGGGCTTCGTCAGCCTGCGTGATGAGGGGAACTCTCGGAAGCAGGCGAGAGGGTTGCACCGGGTACAGCTGTCTCGATGTCGTTGGTCCGACAGGCGGAGGTGGTACGCTAGTGGGTGGCAGTTCTGGAAGGCCGTGATTCGCGAGACGCAGACGAGCACTTGACAGTCAGCCTTGCTGGTGAGCGATCGAAGACACTGGGTGGCGAGGGGACACATGTTCCGTGTTGCTGCGATATTAATGAAGTGTTGCGGAATGGAGAGTGCTGTGTTGTTCCTGCATGGACGACGCCGACTGACGTGGCTAGCCTTGCAGGAGAGAGGCATAGTTCGCACAGAGACTTGTGCATGGGGCATGATAGCGGTTGCGAAGGATCGCGAGCAGCAAGCAGCAGCAGCAGCAGCGGACGAAGCTAGGAACGAGTGGTCCTGCCATGGTTCACCGTGTGGAACGTGGGGAGAGTTTTTGAAGATGCAGACGAAGCTCAGACTAAGGGCAAGACAACCTGAGCGATGGAACGAAACGGGGACGGATCAGCGGCGCTAGAGGTGAGTTGGGAATGGCTGCCGCAGATGGTGTAAGCTACCAGACCTCTTGTGGTGCTGGCCGTGAAATGGTCGTGGTGATTGTGCCTCGAGGGAGCGGTGAGGGAGGAGCCCACACGCAGAAGGAAGGAGTGGACAGCAGCTCGCAGGACGAGGGACGGGCAATGCCGGGATGGACTGGTAGCGGCGCAGACTGGGAGTGAATCTGAGACGTTTGCACGTCTGGGGATGCCCAATGGCAAGGGCTGGTGCGGTAGGGCAGAGGGATTGCTATTATTACGCACATGGAAGACGTTGATCGTTGCAAGGTGTCGCCTGGTGAGGGAGCGACGGCGTCGCAGTGTGCAGCGGGGGGCCTCGGTTGTTCCGTCACAGTTGGTCGACGACAGATTGACTGCGCGATGACGCTCGCCGCACCCGAGGAATGCTGGACGAGGCATCGACGGCGACACAGCGCGCAGTGGTGGTGCAGCGCGTCGCAGCCGGGCGTGCTGCGACATGCAAAGTCTGCGCTGGGCAGACGCTGCGTCACCACGGCAGCGAGACAGCAGGAGCAATGAGCAGTGAGCAGTGAGCAAGCAGTGAGCAGGCAGTCTTGTGACGGAGGGCGCGTCGAGAGGGCCAGGCAGGTCACAGGTGGGCATCAACAAGCCCAGCGGCGGTGCGCGCCCAACGACGTGTAGACGCAGCGCATGAGAGGCTAGTGAGGCCAACTGGGCCAACGGGGCCAACTGGGGCATTTTAGCACGGCGGGCGGCTGGGCCGTTTTGAAATTTTGCTGGCGGGCATGTGTACGCTGCAGCAGTCGATGCCCGAATGCGCCTGCATGCCTGCCTGCAGCACACTCACGCACTCGCCCACCCTCCCCAGACATCTTTCGCACGCCCGCTCCCTCGCTCCTTCACTCCTCTCCCCTCCGCTCCCCTCCCCTTTCCCTCCGCGCGCGCTCGACATGCGGCCATAGCCTCGCCCACTTCTCCGCCGCTGCAAACATGCGCACGCTGCGACCGCTGACCGTCGCCTAATTGTTGTCGCAGCCGCCGCCGATCGCCCCGCGACCCTTATTTATCGATAACTCCCGCCGCTAGACATTTTGCCGACCGCCCAGCAGCCAGCAGCCAGCAGCCAGCAGCCAGCTATCAGCCCTCCGCCCAGCGCGATGCTCCAGCTCACCGCGGGCGCTGCTGCCACCATGGCCGCCGACTCGCAAAACTACCAGCAGCCCTATGCCGAGGACTACTTCTCCGACGACGGCGGCCAGGGCGTCTCGCTCGAGTCGCCGCCGCCGCCGGGCACGCCCCAAGCCAATGTTCGCTATAAGCGCTCCAACCCGGACAACAAGGGCTCCGACAAGACGCCCACCCAGGGCAGGGCCCCTAACAACGCCGACGTCAAGAGCGACTCTGGGTATTCCAGCCACTCCGTCGCCGGCATGAGCAGCGCTGATTCGACCGCAAGTGCCACGTCGTCGCACCGAAGCCCGCCTGTTGTGCCTGTCACTACCCTCCCTGCCGCACCCTCTCCAACACCAGCCCAGCGCGCTCCCCGGCCTGCCCACCAGCGCCGCGAGAGCACCCAGAGCGCCCAGAGTGCATCGTCGCGCCAGCAGTTGCCGCGCAGAGACTCGCAGGCTTCGCGGCGTCCCCCAGTCGAGCGACGCCCAACCATCTCCCAGGCGCCTCCCAAACGCAGAGACAGTCGAAACGTCGAGGATTGCACGACACCTGGTTGCACCGACTGCGGCCCTGATGCCATTGCGCCTTCTCGACCTCGCCCCTCGCGCCGTTCGTCCATGCTACATCAGCCAGCCGAGTCTGCCCCTAACGTCTCTTACCCTCCTCACCACTACGACACGCGCTCGCAGGTCTCAGACCCGGCGCAGTACCATCCCTCTTCGCCAATCACCAGTCGCCAGCCTCACACCTACCACACACCAGGTGCCCCTGTCATCCAGCCTGCCGTATCTCGTCGACTGTCGGTAAACAGCCGCCAGCCACGACCTACCAGCTATCACGGGGATCCTCGTGATGGTTATCCCTGGCCCCAGCCCAGCATGATGCCCACCCAGCCAAGTCCACCAGATCACGGCCCACCGCTTTCTAGATCAGCATATGGCAACATGCCCTATCCCCAGCATCCAATGACTCCAGGATT